ACTACTCATGAAAAAAAATCGAAATTTACGGTCTCGTATCCGAATGCAGTCCTTAATTTCATGGTGAAGGTATGTATAAATGAACAAAAAAATATGTTTTTTCTTTTGATTACTATATTTTTTATTTTACACAGGATCAATTTACTAATGAAGTATATCATGAGTTTGTGGATAAAGATAATTTAACATACGAAATCAGAAGTGAAAATTCCATATTTTTTGAAGTTGATGGACCGTACCTAGCAATGGTGTTACCCGCTGCAAAAGAAGAAGGAAAGAAATTAAAGAAACGATACGCGGTTTTTAATTTCGACGGTTCGCTAGCTGAATTAAAAGGATTTGAAGTAAAAAGGAGGGGTGAATTGCAACTGATCAAAATTTTTCAAGCTTCTGTTTTTGAATCCTTCTTAAAAGGAAATACATTGGAAGAATGTTACGCTTCGGTCGCGAAAGACGCAGATTATTGGCTGGATTTACTGTATAGTAAATGTGCGAATATGCCTGATTCCGAATTGTTCGAACTTATATCAGAAAACAAATCCATGTCGCGTAAATTGGAAGACTACGGTGCACAGAAATCCACGTCGATTTCTACGGCTAAAAGATTAGCCGAATTCTTGGGCGATGAGATGGTTAAAGATGCAGGTTTAGCTTGTAGATATGTTATAGCGAATAAACCGCAAAGCGCACCAGTTACTGAGCGCGCGATACCGTTGGCTATTTTTCAATCAGAACCGGCTGTGCGAAGACATTACTTGAAAAAATGGTTGAAGGATTCTGCTTTGTACAGTGATGATATAAGAGATATTTTAGATTGGAACTATTACATTGAGCGACTCGGGAGCGCTATTCAAAAAATAATCACTATACCAGCGGCGATGCAAGGCTTACCAAATCCAGTTCCACGAGTGCAGCATCCACCATGGTTACATAAGAAGGTGATGGAGAAAAGTTCATCCCATCGTCAGAAAAAGATCACAGATATATTTTCTGTAGTAGATAAAGATACTTCTCGTGCGAACAGCGCCGAAGAGCCCTGTGATATTGAAGACCTTGCAAGACCGTCTACTAGCTTCACGACCCCAACGTCTGTTGTTAGTAAGAGGAAAAGGCAGCCTTCGGATGAAGATGAGGCAATCAGGGCGAAAAGTTGGAAAGAAGCCCTGGGTTCACCTCCTCCCATGGGAACAACGAAAGAAGAAAGGCTTAAATGGTTGGAGTTTCATAAGAAAAAGTGGGCCTTCCAGACTAAACAAAGAAATCAGCATCGGGCGAAGAAAAGTAAGACTGACGAAACCGACAGAATCGGTTGGGGAGTTATACGAAATACAAATACGTCTACCATGACTGGCTTTTTGAGACGTGCTCAAAGAAAATTGTTGGAAACTCCGTGGCAAATCATTCAGCTATCGGAAACCGGTGAACCCGGCATGTTTCGATTGTGGATACTGGTCGACACACAGTTGCATCAAGTACGTCTCGTAGTACCCCGCATATTTTACGTGAACACCCGCAAAGCAAGACCCGATCCAGGACCTAACGAGCTTTGGAAGAAAAGTTTCAAATCTTTACCACGCTCTCGCCCGGTATACAACTTGTATCAATATTCTCTGCCAGAATCTCTATTTCAAGAGCATAGTCGGGAGCTCCTGGAGGACTTAAATAAACCAGAAATTGAAGGAATCTACGAGACACAAATGTCATTGGAATTTCGGGCCATATTGCAGCTGGGATGCGTATGTATAGTCGATCCGCGTGCTGCGCGTAAAGTGGCAGATGGAGCCGATACCTTTACTCTGGATCAATTGGAATACAAGAGTATCGCTTTTCATCCTTATCTCAAGCGAACCGAATCGATCAACTACATATTTCTCTATCATCATTGGAGTTCAAATCGTCAAAGAGCACTATGGGGCTTATTCTTAAGCGCCAGCAGGAGGGCTCACATATTCGTCTTAGATTCAGTCGCTTCCAATCAACTACCGAACATGAATACATTATACACGAACCAACGTAAAGCAATATTAGAAACAAATGGCGAAGACAGTATAAGCGGATTGCCTGAAATTATGCAGTTTATGATACAAGCTGAAACAAACTTTCAACATGTGTGTCGTACGTTGCAAGCAGCTTTAACGACATATAAGAACGAAAAGCACGGTGCTACAATTATTATTAATCAAACTGCTCTCGACAAGACTATGTTAACTACCGAAATGCCACTTCTCAATGATTTTCCTCTCGTCAGTACGCACGTGCGAGACGTTGAGAACCTGTACAGCACGTTAGAATGGCAGAAGATCGGCGCGAAAATGATGATCAATCACTACCTGAAGAGTCAACAGATCATCGAATTAATCGCAGAACAATGCCGGTACTTCCACGCACCTATCGGCAACATATCCACGGATACTTCACTCTTTGGTGCCGATTTATTTTACGCTAGAAATTTGTACAGAAATAATTTTGTCCTATGGTGCTCGCCCACGGAGAAACCCGATTTAGGTGGCAGCGAGAATGACGATAACAGGCTACTGACAGACTTTGAGGAGAGTTCGAGCTGCGCTGCGAACAATTCAGGCACATATTCTAGTGTTTGCGTTCAGTTGGAAGTAGATTATTTAGCAGTCAGTGCACTGTTGCAATACAATCATATTCACGATATAGATGGAACTAGCACGTTTGTAGCGTTTCACAATCAACAGCGTCCATCCGTCCAAGTCAGTTTTATACATCTATCGAAAATTATTTAAAATTTGTTTAAAAAAATACACTAAATTAATTAACAATACTTTTTAAAAATTCATTTGCAATAATTTCTCTAAATTGACAATATATTGTAACTATATGAATCATATTAAATTATTCAATAGGACATGGCAATGGGTAGTGATGCTGCAACAGTTATTCCTAGCTATGACGAAATCACTTTATGCAATCCGGCGTTTAAAATATTGCGAAACATGGTAAACACATGGTTGCTTGATGTCTCTCTGTATAAAAATGCATTCGCGGATTACCAATTGATCCATTTCTATCGGTACGCTATTATTATTTGTATTGTTATTAATTATATTACTTAATTATATATTATATGTATATGTTGCATGCACATATTCGTATGATTCCAGATGGCTGAGATCTTCAAATGCTTTGCTTTATGATCCTGCTCTACGCCGTACTCTACATACTTATATGAAAAAATTATATATACAATTAATAGCACAATTCAAAACGTTAGGTTGTATTATAGTTTTTGCAAACTTTAATAAGATTATTGTATGCACGAAGAAAAGATCTGTGAGCGATGCTTTAGGCTATATAGAGTTTGTTGTTCAAACTATACAAAACAAAGAGCTATTTCACAGTATTGATATTTCTTGTGAACAATGTTGGGAATACCTAGTATGGCTTGACTTGGTATGATTCATCAATTATTTGATTAATGAAATGTTTTGTGTAACATTTTGATTATATATTTGATTTTTTCGACAGCACAATCACGCTGGTATTAAAGGACAGTCACCTAAAGATGATGCAGGAGATGATGAAAATACTGAAAATGATGATGATGACACGGTAAAAGAATAAGCATATTTATAAACATTTGTAGAAATTGTACTGATGCTTTGATAATATTTTTCTACTTATTGAATTATTTTTATTTAGCTTCTAATTATGAATTGGAGTTTGATGGAATGCCTGCCTACGGAAGTAGGATGTCAAGCAAGTTTTAATGCTGTAGTAGCAGGATATATACGTGCAGTATATCAGTGTATGATTGAGAATGAAACCAATAACACTGTAAGACCGAGAAGAAGACAAAGCCAAAGTCAATCATTTATAGCACCACTTGGTTTAGGTGCATTGGAAAATACAGCCGAGTTTGCAAAAAAATTGATATCAGGAGAAATATCTCAAAGATTATTCAAGTATATATTTATCTATTTTACAGTCTCTAAAATTAATATGAAGCTTTATATAAAGGGAATGAAATCAATTTAATATTGATATTTTGTGCTTGGAAAAATCGATAGTTTGAAAGGCATATTGTTTATTATTTGCAGAATTACTCAAAAGATACATCAGAATTTGACGGAAAAGACATTAACTCTCGAGGAATATCCTAATTTGGATATGAATGGAAAAGAAAATATAAAAATCAATCCTGCACTTGAATTAATCAAAGCAGTATGCAAGGTAACGTTACTTACATAAATATTTCAACAATATTTGAATTGTTTGAGATATTAAAGATTATCTGTGAAAATTTCAGGTTTTATCTCTGGATAAAGAGGTAGAACATGAGGTTTATAACTTAAAAGCAAATCTTTTACGACTAATTGGAGTCGGTAGTTATAGTGATAATGTTGAGTGGAAGGAACCGTGTATTTCTCTTGTTTTACCACAAGTTATATGCAAAGTATGCAATCGCACGAGAGATATTGATCTTTGTAAAGATGAATATTTCACCAATGAAAATAACAAGTACGTTAAAAATGAAAATAATCCGATATTTAGATAAAGGTGTATATATATATATATATATATACGCTAAAGTATATTATTATTATTATTGTAGGTTCATGTGGAAATGTTCTAACTGTGATGCATCTTACGAGAATACAGAAATAGAATTTTCATTGATTGATAAATTGAATCGTAAAAGTATGGCTTACGTATTGCAAGATTTACAATGTCGAAAGTGTGAGGAAATCAAACGAGAAAACATGAACTTGTTATGTTCTTGCTCAGGCGAATACGATAATTTAATCTCGCGAGACGAAGTTACAAGCTATGTAAATATATGTAAATCTATAGCCACGAAATGTAAAATGAATATTTTAGCAGAGATAGTAGATAACACGAAACTTTTTACGAGTTAGTAACTAAATCAAGGTTTTCTCTCTTTATGATAATTTATCACTAAATGTATTAATTTGTTTTGTTTTGGACTGTTTAGGTTAAAAAAACATTAAAATAATTTATAGCTATATATATTTTTAAGATGACTTACTTAATATTTAATAGTTCAACAGTACATGAATGTCCTATGATATATATTGATACATACATGTTCACTTTTTAACACCCACATCCACAGGTGGATCTGAAATATACGTTAAATTGTTTCGCTATATGTCGATATATTTACATGCAAGCAAAATTGTAATAACTTTTCAATTTAAAACAAATATCTATCTTTCAGACAGATATTTGTTTTATAAGTAACTTACCAACAAATTTGAACTGAGGAAATTGTATCATATCTACTCCTGGACCACCACCATATTGCATGTTAAGTTTTTCTAATTCAGAATCCCGTTCTCTTGTAATTTCCGGACTAGGATCAACTAATTTCCCACCTCTTTAAGTTTAAGAAAAATTTTTATAGCATTTAACATTCTTCATTTTAGACATCTTATCTTGATATAACATAAAAATACATTAGTTCAATATTTAATGAATCTGATTTATTAATTCCATCTAATTATTAATATTTTGCAGCTATGTAAAATATTTTTTTAACTCTTCTAATTTTATTTTTAACAAATATATTCAAGTTATTATTTTAATTAATAGTTGTCTTTCCTAAACGGAACAATACAACAATGAACAAACAGAAATAAAATGAACATAGGCAGTTCTTTTAGTTTCTTTTACAATAAAAATTTAATTATATTCTTTATCTAAGTATAAAATTTTTTGCAAAAATATTTCCCCTAAAAATTAAAAAAATTTGGAAAAGTATACTTACGCGCTTTTTGATTTGTATTCCCGAAGTTTGTCAAGGAAGATCTGCTGTATAGGATCAACTGCTTTCTGCAAAGCAGGAACGTTGGTACTGATGTTACGTTTAATAGCTTTCGGCACACTAATGAGACGTGACCTCAGCATGATTGTCTAAAAAATAGACACAATTTTGGGGAAGAATTCTGTATCTTATATATTTTTATCGTCAACAAGTAATTTTCCTTTTTTGCACAACAAGCATAAATTATCCAAATAACCTCTCAATTACAAATCGAGATAATCACAAATTCTGAATTATAATTTTTTAAATATTTTATTGAATTTCGTTAGAATGAAAATTAATAATTTTTCGGATGTCTCTTACGTAATAAATGCAATAACATTTGTTGGTTAGACCCATTCAGAATAAGTTAAAACGATTCGAATATACATTCGTCAATTCATAAATGAACAGACGATAATACATTTAAATATTACACATTACGTGTGTACGTTAATAAACAGTTAATGTATTTACTTTTATGTTTAGCACGTACACACAACTCCAAATTTTCTTCGCAAGACAGTCACTGACAATGTAACAATTCTAAATAACAGAAGCCAATAGCTCTGAGCGCTCTGAGGCCATCTGAGGCTGAGCAGAGAGAAACCTGAGAGAGGACGTGAGGGTGAGGCTGATGCTGGATTCACACTGCATCCGATTTTCGTCGTACGACGCTCTACAACCAATCAGAAAATAGGATTCCGATGAATTTTGCTCGTAATATCGGAATCCTGTTTTCGGATGCAGTGTGAATCCAGCAATAGGCATTAAAGGCCGGTATACATAAGGTGCGTTCAGGGAGATGCTATTAGCGCTATTGTGTCATTCTATCCTTGTTTTACATTTAATAAACAACGAAGATAGAATGACAAAAATAGCGCTATTAACGTCTCCCCGAACGCACCAATAGTCTGTTCTTATTTTCTGTTTCAATGCTGCCAGTTACTTTCGTGGATAGAAAAGGAATTGACAACACTGCGATGCGATGTAGGGGAAGATGGCGCGGACAGGATTTCCGGCGGTGGAGACGGTGGAGTCACGTCACAGAGGTCACAGGTGGAGTGCCTCGAGTTAATCCGGTCGGTCGAACTGAGCTATCGAGTGGATTGACGTTGAGTTGAATCGATGTGTGACAAATTTAACAGAACATCGGCATGACGGACGTAGACGTAGTGGTGCTGGACGATCCTGTCCAGAAGGAGGAAGTGGCGGCGCACTTCCAGGCACCGGCGATCCAGCACAATCCGGATGGCTGGGGTCCCTGCGAATTGCCGGATCAGTTTAAGGACATTCCTTACCAGCCATTTTCGAAAGGCGACAGATTGGGCAAGGTGTGTTGCGAGGCTTATTCGATCTTTATTTTCGTCTCACAAACCGCGCTTACCTATCGGTTTGCTCTTTTCCGCAGATCTCCGATTGGACTACGCCTGCTTTCCAGGACAAGAAGTTCCCAAGTACGTATTTCGCTTTGCCGACCGCTCATGTGCACTTAACCTCAAAAATCGGGAGACTTTGGTCTCGAAGATTCGGTCGGGAACCTCGTTGGCATTTTTGCGCCATGTATGTTGTCTTTAAACGAAGACGGCAGATTTTATTTGAGTTAATTCTAAGACTGAATCTGAAGCAAGGTTTGACAGATGTATATATGTTAAATGCTTGACAGATCGAATTCTGATTAATATATACAGGGTGGAGAGAAAGATTGTGGCATGACTTTGCAGGATGATACTACAGGTCAAGGTGAACATAAAAGGTCCTATGAACATAGGTCCGGAAGTGCCTTATTTTCGAAATACTCGCCATACAAAAATAAAATCTGTGTTGGTCGATTAGGACATCGTCTGTTCGGAAAACGTGTTTGGTACATACGGCAAGCCTCTACGCAGTTACCACGGGCCTTTCCGTACAACAAATGCATGTCTGCATACTCCGCATTACTAAACATCTTTACAAGATGCAATTAACTGTTTTACACCACTTATCGGAAAACGTTCTGCGCTTTCGAATAAGTACCTTTCGCATATTGTTTACACCAAGGCACACGCCTGACCTTTGTTTACAATATCTCACGTTGAGCACCTCTTGTAAAAGTCACTCGTTCCAAATAAACCTGTTGATCTCACCAACACAGATTTTATTTTTGTATGGCGCGTATTTCGAAAATAAGGCACTTCCGGACCTATGTTCATAGGACCTTTTATGTTCACCTTGACCTGTAGTACCATCCTGCAAAGTTATGCCACAACTTTTTTCTCCACCCTGTATATATATATATATAGAACTATTTTATTAAATTTTAAATAGGTAAATAATTTTTTTGTCATACGAAATATGAATCTGATAGAAATGATATTTTTGATAGACATATTTTGATATAACAATTGATAATCATTTTTTAGAAATTTGTGTCTTGATCAAAATTCTGTCAAATGGAATAGATTATTTGTCATTATTATTAATAATTTTTGGTATCTTTCCTCTTTCTCTTCAAAGTTTTCTCTATTTTGAAGAAAAAAAGAGTAAAGATAAATAGTATAAAGGTTTAATTGAACAGATTTTAGATCTAATGTAATTTATTATTAACTAGCTTATATATATATGTATAGAGAAAAGGTCCTTATTATGAGATATCGAATTCATTTTGGGTAAATGCTAGAAGTCTATAAGCAGAATAAAAAAAATGATAGATCATTTAGAAAGGAATTTAATAAGCTTTAAGATGACGTTACCTAAAATTTAATTCAAATTCCATTTTTTTTAAATTAAAGAAATGTAAAAAGTGAGCAAAACGCAAAATGAAAAAATTGTGCTCCTAATATGAGATGTCCCAAAAAATCGATAGTAAAATGGAAAGTATATCAATATTGCAATTAAAAAACTTTATATAATGTTTCTAAAATACGAACAAACATAGCCAGCGTGCGCGAAAAATGAGCATACAATAGATTATACTTAGAACTTGTTTTCAGGTAGTTGGAATCAAGCATCGCAGATATAGGCACTCGACATTCATTCCGATTGTCTTTTTTATTATTGTACAATAACATTTATACTTTAGCAACGATTTTTACTATACATATAACATAGGAGCATTCCTAATATTTCATATTAGGAATACCCTGGGTATCTCATATTACGATTTCCACGCTTTATAGCTTTACGATCATCAAATCTAACTTCTATAATTAAACAATTTAACATATTCCGTATTTTTCTATTAGTACGACCTTACTCTATCGCTACATGAAGATTTTATTGCCAAATATTTATTTATTAAATAATAAACAAGGTTTAAATGCTCATCTCAATAAAACTTGAAGACATCCAAATTCTAAAATCTTGTTTTACAATAACTACAGGCATGATCTAATAATGAACTTTTTACTAAATATTTTTCAATCCAAGAGCAATAAATTCATAGTGGAACCAATAGATAGCGTTTATTAGTTTAGCAGAAACGCTGCTATCTCATATTAAGCGCCTATCTCATAATAGGGGACTTTCCTCTATATATATATATAAAAGATATAACTATTGAAAGATTTATTAATGTAGCTTGTTTCTTATATTACATATGAAAAAATAAAAATTCATTGATATATTATAGTTACATATATATAAAATTAATGTCTTAACTGTTTTTATAGACAAATATACATCGCAGTTTGGTTCAGGCAGTCAATATGCCTATTATCACGATGAAGATGAAACCACCTTCCATTTGGTGGATACCACCCGTGTACAGAAGCCGCCATATCAACGTGGCCGTTTCCGTCACAATCAGCGCAACTTGCGTGGTCGCGGTGGTCAGCGTGGTGGGTTGAGCCAGATGCAACAGCTAGGAAAGCTCAAATTGCGAGAACGGGAGCGTAAGGGACAAGCAAAGCGTTGGGGTAGACAGCAGGGTCTGCGCAACCATAAGAATCAGCCGCCTATCAAGATCCGAGACGCTTCTGTAACGGTGCGACCTGACTGGATAACTATCGAAGAAATGGACTTTCCCCGATTGGCTAAACTTTCGTTGCCTGGCGTGAAAGATGGCGAAGATATATCATGCTGCGGCTCGCTTGAATATTATGACAAAACGTACGATCGCGTGAACGTCAAGAGCGAGAAGCCGCTGCAGAGAATTGATCGTATTTTCCACACGGTCACAACTACCGATGATCCAATAGTTCGAAAATTATCGAAAACTGAGGGCAATGTATATGCTACTGATGCAATCTTGGCTACTATCATGTGCTGTACACGTAGCAATTATTCGTGGGACATTGTCATTGAAAAGATTGGTGACAAATTGTTCTTTGATAAACGAGATAACACCGAATTTGATCTGTTGACTGTAAACGAGACTAGCGTCGAGCCGCCACAGGACGACGGCAATTCGCTGAATTCACCCAGAAATTTGGCCCTCGAGGCGACTTTCATCAATCACAATTTCTCACAGCAGGTACTCAAATCAAATGAAACACGATACAAGTTCGAAGAAGGCAATCCATTCATTGCAGAGGAAGAGGAGAGCGATGTGGCTAGTGTGGCTTATCGTTATCGTAAATGGGATCTTAACAATGGCATAGTACTTGTCGCTCGATGCGAGCACGATGCTGTGATGCAAGGTCCAAACAATGAAAACCAATTCCTGACGATCAAAGCTTTGAACGAATGGGATTCGAAACTAGCTAATGGAGTCGAGTGGCGTCAGAAGCTAGACACGCAACGTGGCGCGGTTTTGGCTAACGAATTGCGCAATAACGCCTGTAAACTCGCCAAATGGACGGTTCAGGCGTTACTAGCCGGTTCGGATCAGCTGAAATTTGGATATGTATCACGCGCCATAGTGCGAGATTCAAGCAAACACGTGATTCTCGGTACTCAGCAGTACAAACCGAATGAATTTGCGACGCAAATTAATTTGAACATGGACAACGCGTGGGGCATTCTAAGATGTATTATTGACATTTGCATGAAGCAGAAGGATGGCAAATATTTGATAATGAAGGATCCAAACAAGCCTATGATTCGATTATACGATATTCCTGATAATACCTTTGAAAGCGAGGGCGAAGAAGATGAGGATGATGATGAGCCTGTTAATGATGCGTTTCAAAGTTAACAGCCTTCATTAATTACGCTTATGCCCACCATTGATCAGTAATAGATTGCTTTTAAGACATTTTTGTGGAAACAAGAGTATTATAAAGAAAATAAATGAGAAGATTTCAATATTTGATTTATGGAATTTTATTACTCAAATACTTTTGGATATAATTAATTAATAGAAATTCAGATACTTTTTGATTATTAGATATATGTATGAAAATTTTATCTAGGGACAAATTTCAAGATATAATTATTTAGTATTTATTCAAACTGTAATGTGACTTTATTATATATGTATAACAATACAGTAAAACAATACATTTTCTAATTTATTTTTTTAATTTATAATTTGTATTTTTAGCAAATTTTGAAAAAGAATTATATATACTATTATCAATATCAAGAGTTCAATCATTAAAAATATTTTATTTAATATAGATATATTTCAGATATATAGGTATATACGTTAAAGTAAATATTTCATACTTTAATAAG